TAATACTAATGTTACAAACTGGAAATGTTATTGTGCAACATAGGTACTTAAGTGGAACCAATCATGGACGGGTTAAGGATTTATTTTTTATCGAGTTTTTAGGTTTTCGTTTTATTTTTTGTTTTAGTCTTTTAATTTAGGATGAGTTATCCTGTGGAACTCGAGGAAAGGTTTAATTGATTAAAAAGTCTTCAAATGAAAAGTGCTTTACTCATATCAATTAATAAAGAAAACATTGTTATTCGAGAAAAAGTAGACCCTGCTTGAGTATCCTTATATGGACAGCCCAATTTCCAATTATGGACACCCCGTCATGGACGGTTTTCAATCATGGACACCCCATCTTGGACGGTTTCCAATCATGAACACTTAAATATGAACCATCAACTATTTAGCCTAATTAACAAATTTAAACTTAAAAAACAGATCTTGCATGGTACTTAAATGAACAGCGTGACGTTTCATATGACCAATTTGTGACTGGTAACAATGAGTGATCATTCGCTTCAGTGTCATGTCTAAAAAAATCAAATCCAGTAATGGACGACCAGAGACGGACACTGTTTCCATTACTGCGTAGACTTAAAATAATGTAACAAGCTGCAAACTAAATTAAAAGTCTGCCTTTATAAAGACGGTAAACACAATAAAGATCTTTATTGATAAAATCCGATATGGACAAAAATGTCCATGATTGGGTAGATAGCTAAATGAAATCCAGTAATAAACACTTAAAATTTTCCAAAAGACGTTATGTTATTCTTTTACAGTTACGTTTTGTTTCAATGTTTAAAACAATACCAAAACAAAATACCCACAGAAGTCACCACACTCTTAAATACCATATTCAAATATGATTATAAAAAACGTACCTGAGGCGCGGTTCTTATAAGAAATCAGCATTTCGCACCGCGATAATATATAAATATGGAATAGAGATGGCCGCTACTCGCCAGCTGTCAAAGTTTAACTGATGTCTTCCATTTTGATAAAAAAAAAATAAAAACATTTTAATAATATAGGTAATTTGAAAAAATAAATATATTAAAAAAAATTTGAAAGTGCAAAGAAATAATTAGCGTTTCTTTATTTTTGGCGGTATAGTTCAAAAATGTTCATGATTGGTGCACTGTCCATCATCGGTTCCATTATCTTAAGTGGCATTAGAATATTAAAAACAAATTATATGCAATATAAGTTAATATTTAATTATTATTATTTACATCACACAAATATTTTTCACCTCATTAGCTCGGAAAGGCTTTCTTTCTCACTAAAAATCTGCGCGCAAAAGCGTTTTTTGCACGCTAGCGTGGGAAAGGTTTTTGAAATTCGAACTTGACGATGAACTGTGGTGCACCTAACTTTTTCTTTCGATGAAAAAAAAAAGATAATGGCACGTTCAATTAAGCGATTTGTTGTACAATACTTATTTACGTAACATATATCTGTTAGTATTTTTTATTCTTATTATTGTTGACTTTAAATTGACAATGATAGGTAACTAATTGTGTTTATTAAATTATTTTAATTAGTCGAAGAATCAAAATAATTTCAATTATCACTTAATCACACAAAATAAAAGTACAAGCAAGAATAAAAATTGATGAGGTGTACATTCAGAACGCATCCGAAGATAAACTTTTTCTTTTAAATAAAAAAAGGTTTTATAGTTCAACTGTTTTTCTTTCATCTACCATTTCCCTCGCTATGAGGTGAAAAGTTGTGTGTTTCGCTCGGCAGCAAAGTTGTTTTGCGTCTCGTGTCTTGAAACCCTCGCTACGCTCAGGAGTCTATGATCTTAGCTTCCTTCGCTTGTTCAGGTTTCAATACAAGCACTCGCAGCAAACAACAACTTTGCAGCTTTGCATAACAAATAATTATTATTAAGATTTTTTAGAATTGAAGAACTTTGACCATTCAAAATAATTATTACAATCACAGTTATACAATATCTTAATAACCTTTATTTTGTACACGTTTTTTATAATACTACCGTTTCGCGTCTATACATCGAGCATTCGTTTCTGATTTTGATAATAATATTATGTAGTGCAATCGCACCATCAAATACTTTTCTATTATTTTTTATTAGTAAATTAACTTTGTAATCAATTCCATAGCATTGATGATCATCTTCTAATTTGACAAAAATTGTTTGGTTTCCAATGAAACTCTTTAAAACCTGTGAAGTAGACTACAGCCTACAGCCTTAGAATAATAACGCATAGAAACCTAGCCCGCACACGCTAAGTGAGGCAAGTTAGAGGGTTCCAAACGCGTCCCAGGAGCGCGCGGGCTGTTAGTGCTCAAGGTCATATTGCACCGCGAACAGCTCCAAAATTTTTTGCTAAAAATGACGAAATGTGCGGTAAATGGGTGTAAAAATACAACAGACAAACATAAAATAGACACTAACATCGCATTCCACAAGTAAGTAATGCGTTTCAACTCATATTTTTATGTAAATATTCACTAAAACAGAAAAATAATTTCGCGGCAACAAGATACGAAAGTGTTGCAAAGTAACGAATTTTTTTTCTCCCCATTTTGCTATTCTGTATCAAAATAATTATATTACGTAAATTTTAGTGGTGCCTGTAATTTAGATTTATTTGCGCATCTTGAACTAATATTTACTTTAATAAACATTAAATGTTTTCGTTAACTCCTGTAAGTGATTGGGACACTTAATTATTTTATAATACTTTTAACGGCTCTGCGTTCATGCTTTATTGAATAATTATTTATTTTAATTTTATTTGAATTGGAGCACATATTGCAACAAATTTACAGTACTTATATATTTGTTTCTACTATAGTGTTGGCACCACCAGTACAACTTTGATAGCTTATTATATGTCTTTCTTTTCGTAACTCAAGCGAAATATTTTATATTAAAATATTTTATTTTCTTAAAAGGGGAGCATTCTTAAGCGATTTTTTAATCTATTTTAACAGTTATTTTCTTTAATGTTTGCTTATGGCATTTTCGGTTTTAGGTTTCGAATATGGCACTTATTTCTAAATCCAAGATGCGGGCGCGATTTTTCGAATAATGGCAAGTTGGGTATCGTTTTCGAGATGTTTGGGAATGTTCAATACAAATATGGCACTCATTTCTAAATCCAAGATGGCAAACACGACAGTTCAAACAAAAGCAATATTCGTAATGAGCACCCCCAAATACCTCGAAAACGATACCCAACTTGCCATTATTTGAAAAATCGTGCCCGCCATCTTGGATTTACAAATAGTGCCATATTCACATTGAGCATCCCCAAATACCTCGAAAATGATACCCACATAGCATTTTTTTGAAAAAATCGTGCCCGCCATCTTGGATTTAGAAATGAGTGCCACATTCGTAATGAGCACCCCCAAGTACCTCGAAAATGATACCCATATTGCATTTATTTGAAAACTCGTGTCCGCCATCTTGGATTTAGAAATGAGTGCCATATTCGTAATGAGCATCCCCAAATACCTCGAAAATGATACCCATATTGCATTTTTTTGAAAAAATCGTGCCCGCCATCTTGGATTTAGAAATGAGTGCCATATTCGTAATGAGCACCCCCAAGTACCTCGAAAATGATACCCATATCGCATTTTTTTGAAAAATCGTGCCCGCCATCTTGGATGTAGAAATGAGTGCCATATTCGTCATGAGCATCCCCAAGTACCTCGAAAATGATACCCATATTGCATTTATTTCAAAACTCGTGTCCGCCATCTTGGACTTAGAAATGAGTGCCATATTCGTAATGAGCATCCCCAAATACCTCGAAAAGGATACACATATAGCATATTTTGAAAAATCGTGTCCGCCATCTTGGATTTACAAATAAGTGCTATATTCGTTTTTCATCGACAAAACCGAGCACATCTGTAGGCACCTGATCGACAATGTCGGGCAAATCTGTAGGCACCTGTAACTTAATGATGAGTTAAGCAAGATACAATTTCCCCACTTTTGAGGGAAATGTTATTCCATGGCATTATTATTTGTATATTTGTGTGCGTGCCGACGAGCGTAGTTACAAGTTGCTTACGCCTACATGAATTTGGTTTTTGCCTCACTTGTGACAGTTCGTTTGATATGAAACTATCATTCTATGCGTTATTATTCTAAGCCTACAGCACATCAAGCTACAGATTTATATCTTGTTCCGTTGCACTGGAGGCGATTTTCGAACTAAAATGTGTGACCATACATTATAATATTTTCTTTATTTTTTTTTCTCTTTATGACACGTGCACACAACAATGAAAGTTATCTATAGGGCTACATTTTCTTTTGTGTACATACATTATGGCTATTATTATAGACCTTCGTTTGAGAATACTTTACGTAAAACTGAGTTACCTAAAAAACAATTTTGGACCGCAGTAGTAAATGGTGCAGCCTGTATGTATATGAATGCATTAATTACTTTCTTTAAAAAAGTTTAAGTTAATCGATGCTCCTATTACCCAAACACATTTAATTAATTTAAGGAATTCTTTTTGTGTCTTTAATTAATTTAATTAAAGACCTTCTGTCTTTCATTAAACGGCATTTTTAAACATAACTAATCAATGTGACGCTGTGCTTAGTACTGACGCGAGATTGTATTCGCTTTTGAATTTGTATTTGCTTTGGTGGCTTCACTTACGTGTTCGGCGCGCAACATCTGCCTATTGTTTTGTAACCGGAACCTACACTGCCTGCAGTTGCATGCATAACTTCTAGTTATAAATATTGGAGTTTTGTAATTCGAGTTTAAACCGTCCCCGTACATTAATTATAATGATTTTAGTGGTTGAGCTGAATAGGCTAAAAACTCTATTTACTGTTTTCAGATAAAGCACACCGTAAAATGCTTGTTTGTCGAGGTCCGCCTTACAAAGACAGCATCGCATCCAGTAAGTACCTAAACAATAGAATCAATCTTTGAATTCCTGAATCAGTTGTCTAAATAAAAAGAAGCTTGTTTCCAAATATGGATGCTTTGTCACTTAGGGTCAGCGCACACTATCGGAGGGGCGGTGAAGGTGAAGCACAGTCATGTGAACGCTGACTTCGCACGGATGAGGACTCGTAGCCTGTGTAACCGAGAGGAACTGATGAACCATTCAAGTGGAAAAGAGTCTCGCATTGTTCGGACATACGGCATGACTTCCGTGTGTTTTCTCTCTTCCCGGTCATCAAATAAAGGTTTTAATTACTTTTGGTTTATACTTAAAACTATGTTCACTGTTTTTCATGTTGAAAGTGTGCGCTGATCCGTAGGTATGAAAATAAGCAAATGGAGGACATACACACAGTTAATCTAATGACATTTTGTATACAGTATCAATTATTTTAATAGAACCAATAATGACCATATAGCGCAGTGCTCACTATAAACTTGGCGTTTATTTATTTGTCACAGGACTAAGACTGGAAGCTAGAAGTAAGTCTCAATCACCTTCCAAGATACCAGTGAGGCCAGGGGCACATAGTGAGTAGTTTTTGTGTAGTTTTAAAAACTTTGTCATTTATCAACAATAATGATATGAAGTGATAGTTCTCCTAAATCATTTGCACAAACGACCCTATTTGGAATTTTAAGATTACGCAGTAATACAATAGGGTTATCTTTGCGTGGATAGTAAAAAACCCTTGTAACTTTAATTTTTGTTAATCTTTAAAGTTAGCCTGCATATAGTCCCACTTATAGGCACATGTCACCTCTCACAATGAGAGGGCTTAAACTGTACTTCCCACGCATCGAGTATAAAACTTGAAATAGAGACAAAATAATGGCAATTCATCAGGCAAATGGGCCTTATATCACTTTTAAATATCAACTCTCATTTGCACTGAAATCACAAATTAGAAAGCTGAAATAGTACAGCGCCAATAACTGACCTGTGTGTGTACGTCTCCTTATATTCGTAAAATATTCTGTACTTGTAGTAATAATGATAATATCTGTAACTAATAAACTAATAAAACAAATGGAATCACATTTCATCGGTAATTAATTATTAAATATGTAATTTTTAAATTATCGTCCATTATAGCAAAGCTCAAGTTACATTGGTCTATTTGAAGTGAAACAATTGACGAATTCGGCCTGGCCAATCGGAGCGCAGTTGTCACCGTAGTGATATGGCAGAATAGTTTTCAAACAAATTAAATGACATTTCGTCTCTATTTCTGGTTAGATACTCGATTCTCCCACGTGAGCTCAATACGGATTGGGAACTTCACACACATCATTAATTAATTGGTTTACGGACGTGTGCAGCTTGCCGTATGATGCTTTCCTTTACTGAAAAGCTCATGGTAAATTTCAAAAACTCCGAGATGAACTCACAACCCTATGCTCTAGAAGCGGTAGGTCAAACCGTTACCATGGCTGTTAATTAGTTTCAGTGAATTTTATGGGTAAACCCAATCGTAATAATTGAAGCTTTCATGTGAACCTCAGAGGCGACCCAAACTTTTGTTCAGGCTTATTATTTGGCTGCCATGTGTAATTGATCCTGTTTTAGGGGCATGCAGTGAAAATAGATCTTTATCGCCTCGACCAAGATCTGTACAGCGTGATAACAGCCTAGATTGTGTGGATATCCTGAGTAAAAGTAAGAACTTCTAACTTAGTAACACTGCATACCACCTACGTATGTATGTAACGTACGTGCATTTATAATGGACTGTTTGGTATTCTGTTGATTTTGTTTTGTTTATTTGTATTAAGAATAAGAAGAAAAGGGCGATTTATTGCGATTGGGAGAAGATGTAGTGACAAAGACAGTGAAAGGGATGCTTAGATGGTTCGGATACGTAAAAAGAATGAATGAAAGAAGATTCACGAAATAGATTTATTAGGCGAGTGCGAGCGTAAGTTGGTAAGAGCCGACCAGGTTGGTAAGAGGCGAACTTACTATGACCAAATTGACGCCATTATAAAGAAGGGCTAGGTCAGGAGTACCCTAACCGACGAGCGTGTATGAAAACACTGATGCATGTTGATGTGGCAAACGATGTGTGTCAGGATCGTAGCAAGTGGAAAACTGTTGCCTGCCTACCCCGACGGTCAGGTCAACCGTGACCATGGAACCTGTAAAGGCCCCGAAACGTTGGTTTGTTTGAAAAAACAAATATACGCGATTTAAATACGGAAAAATAGTTTCATTTCCTAGGTGTAACAATCGCGAGAACCTTAAACGATGATTTCGAAAAAAAAGTGAAAGTCCAAAATTTTTTTCTTGATATCCGAAGTTTTACGTTTTTCACTTTCTATGTATATATGATAAACGTTAATTTAAATGTTGCACTGAATTACAAATACCATTTTAAACGTTAATTTCGTTCAATTTTATGACTATAAATTTCGTCAATACCGCTGTTACGGATTTTTTTTAGGCATTCCATGTCAGCGAGTAACCAAATTGAGATGAAATAAACATCTGATTATCTTTAGAAATTACGTATTACTGGGACATAGTATTAGATGTTGAAATCCTTCAACTAAGTGAACAACAAACACAATAATCAAACGCGCCGCCGTGTTAAGTGCCGTCTTAAAAGAGATCAAAAGTGCTGTTCATTTATTTGTATTTTTTTTTCAGCTCGTTCGAAAACACTAAGCTTCTTACATCCTTATAACAACAACGCTGACATCATATCGGACACAAGTAGCAGGAGAACCAGCTACAAAGGGACTTCTGATAATACTTCCAAATGTAGTACACTCACAGTTATTGGTGAGATATATGTCTGTACTATATATATTTTAGTAGCAGTAGAGCTCCTTTTGATGTTATCTACTTCTGCCGCCAAGCAGTAATGTGACCATTGCTGCGTTTCGATTTTGAAGGCTAAAGGTGCTGGTGTAATTACTGGCACATGGGACTTGTCAACTTGTCTCAGGGTGACAGGCGCAGTGGCAGTGACCCTCAGATCTTTGCGATTTAAATTTCTAAGTGACACTGCAACTGCTATGGATAGGCGTGTCGCTTAACACCAGGCGTACGACTTGTTTGTCCCATCTCTTGGTATCATAACAACAAAATCCATCAATGGATACAAAGGGATTGTGTTAGGCCACACACCGCCACTCGATAATAGATGCCAGTAAAGTTGTAGATCTAAGCAAGGCAAGATAAGCAAGTTTTTTGTATTTACGAAACGAACATAGTATATTATAAGAAATGAAACTATTATATTATATTTGTTTTTTCAAACACACCGACATTTCGGGCCCTTTACAGGGGCCATTGTCACGGTTGACCTACGCGATTTAAATCCGGAAAAATAGTTTCATTTCCTATGTGTAACAATCGCGAAAACGTAAGAACTCAAAACGTTGTATAAGCAAGAAATTATAAAGTAAACTCTGAAGCTTAATTTCATTTCTTGCAAAATAAAAACAAGAAAAAGTTTGTTGGCACGGCCCATGCATTCACTACCTGCATGACAGTCTGTCGCGCAGGCAGGAGACTGCTCACACACTATCCTGCGTATGCCCCACGTATGGAGTCACGCAGGACGCTTTGCAGGATGGCCTGCACGCTACGACTACATTTATAATCCTGCATTACGCGGCGGACGGCAAGGCGGACTGCCATGCAGGATAATGAATGCCTCCTTTTGGTCTAAATTTAAGTTCGTTTTAAAAATCTCAGACTAGGTTAACACAAAATGCCTTGTAGTCGAAATTATGTAGTGCAATCGTGCCAGAAAATAGATAGATGTAGTTTGCACCTGTGCGACCATTGTATTTATACCTGCATGCTCTTTCTAGGCTCCCGGTCCCTCTAACAGCCTATGCATACGACGTATTTTATACGCGCAAACGCGATTGGAATGCGATGCAGTTGCAGCGAGTAAACCTTTGCACACGTTCACAAATTCAGTGGCGCTGTGAACGCGCGTCATCTGCGCTTATATGCGCGCTGCAGACGCGCCGTAGTCGCGCGCATGTATTGCGTATTTTGATAGGAGATTCTTTTGTAACTTGAAAATAAATAAATAATATTATTTCATATAACTCAATGTCGAAAGCATCTGTCTCTATTTTCCGTTTCTGTATTTGACCAAATGAGAGAGATTCGATTAGCCTTAATTTTGAATTAATTTGATAATAAAGATAAAAATTTGATAATTAATTCGATTCGCGATTGAAATGAATTGATTAAAAAAATCGATAGATCGTATTGAATTGAATCCATCTCCATAAAAATCGAGTCCCTAATTCGTTCCTAAGCGTGTCAACTGCCTAAAAAGCTGAAAATGGCGTGTTTTTGAAGTTACGCTTTGCCCTGACTCTGGCGCACAGACTACAAATCGTCGCGCAAAAGACTGAGCCATAGATACAAAAGTTGAAGTTGAAGTTACGAATACAGTTTTTACAAAGATTATTTATTTTTATTTTAAGTATATTATGAAGAAAAAACGAAGACAGAAATACTAATGAAGAAAGTTAGAACTATATTCCTCATTTTAAACCAAATTACAAAAGACTAAATTGAAAAAATTAAATTGTAGTGTCGTTTTTTAATTTCAATTAATTTTTGAAATGAAGCAACTACGTGAAATTCTAAGTGTAAACTCCAGTGGAGTATAAGGACTGTGTTCTGCATATGACGTACCTATGACTTAACCCACAATGACAGTTTCGAGATTAAATATTTTTAGCAACTTTTTGTCATTACACATTTAAATATCTAATGAATTTTACAGGACAATTATAATAATGAAAAGATTTGTAATGACATAAGCATTACGATTAGTTTATTATTTTTATAAGTTACAAACTTACGATTAGTAATGAAATAAAAATGGTTTATACAAAATTCGATATATCAACAAAATTATTACTTTATGTATCAGGGGTGGTTAACACATTTTTGCAAAGTACTGAAAAACACGTATAAAGTGTCACTTAATCCTTGCAAACACTGAGAAATCACATTATCATAATGACCATGTATTAAAAAATATGTAAAATGAGTTATGCGCACTTAAACTAAATCATTTCAAACCACGTTGAAAGATATGTGTTGTAATTCACATTCATGATTGTAACACATTTTTGCTAAATTCGCCTATGAGATGAACCAGGTTTTTGACAAAATAATTTTTTTATTTCACAATTACTACGATTTTTTTAATGATGTTAGTGAAAAGAATATTAAACTGTACGATCCAAGGCGCAAGACTGCATTCATAACTAATTTTACGGTTTTCTGTAAGTTAACTCATTTATGCATACTAGGGCCCTATAAGCTTCTGGCACGCAACGCGATGTTTGTGCGTGTTTGAATCGATTCAAACGAGGGACGACTCGAATGACGAGCTTCGAACGCGCTTCTCGCGCGGGGCTGTCTCGCGTTTGAATCTGTACAAACACAATAATCTGCTTTTAGAATTTCTACGGCACCGCAATCGAGTGTCGCGTTCGTCAAAGGTGCGTTTACGGCGCTTTTGTTGTCGACGCGTATAAAATACGGCATGTGCATAGGCTCAGGTTGTTAAGTAGCATATTCCGTTACAAATGCCTACTTAGACGACTAAATATTGCTTTCAATTTAAGGGTTCAGACAAAAGCTTTGTAAGGGTTCGGTGTAAGAAAGTTGGCAAAAGAGGCCATGATAACAAATTTCGAAATATAGTTTCCGAGTTTTGCATCGAGCTGATCTAAGAATATGTACTTCATCATTTTCTCAATAGTTATCATACTCATTTTATTTCAGAGAACGGGTACGGATCTCCTTTAGTGTTGCCTATTCATAGGCGTCTAACTCTTAGGCGTGAGGGAGGCAAAGTCGGGAGCAACGGTAAGCGACAAATTCTCTTAGAAACAAAGTATTTTTCTTGTAGGTAGTCTAGTCCGTTCTCCAACTTTTCGGCACTCCTTGTCATAACTAAGAAATTTTGCATTTCGGTAATGGGCATTTCTCCAAGAAGGGCTAAGTTCTCTGACTTCGGTGGTCGGTTTTTTTTCTTAATTTCAGGAAAAACTTTGAGCAGGATGGAAAAAGTTGGGCTAGATTCTTAACAGTTAATGACATATTTGATCCACCGAATTCAGCTTCCACCGAAATCAGAATAATTTAACAAAAAGCATAATTTTTGTATAAAATACTTGTTATGAAAAAGGCAATACAAACATTCAATAATCTACATAAAAATTTACTACTATAACTAACTATTAAATCAAGCTTTAAAAACTAAAATTTATTTAAGAAGCAACCACAATAACGCAAAGAAATTTCACCTTATGATTAGTAATTAAAATCAGTTTTCAGTTTGGTTGTTCAGCCTTTTTTCTACCACACAAAGTCAGCCTTTTTTCAATCACACAAAGTATTCCCGTATTTCGTTTATTACTCTTTATATATAACGAGATAATTCATGAACTTCAACATCTTTCCTTCTGCTTTTTCTTCGCATACCTCCGTCTATCTTTTTCTTTAAGCCTTTCATATATAATTGGATGGCTTTTTATCGTTACTGGTTTAGTGCTTTTGATTTTCCTTATTCATTTTCAGCGAGAAGCAAATAGTAATATAAAAATCAATAATATTAACTAAACATTTAAATGAAAAAACCTATAAAATTCTTACTTTTCTAAGTAAATATAGCTTCGATGGCAGACTGATGACTTTTTTTCTGAATTCGGTGGCAAAAAATGCACCGAATCCAAGGCCACGGAGTTCAGAAAATACCTTAGAGCACATATATGATCTAAGGAAAATACATATATTTTTGACATTACTCGTAAAGGACAATACTTGTAAAACCAATAAATTGTTATTATATTTTAGTCGTTACAACACATATTATAAAAAATATTGCTTACAACCAAAAAAATATAGTTTTTGAAATATCGTATACGCCGCATTCAAAAATCAACCTGGACCAAAATCCACCGAATTACGTACCTATTCACACGTAAAAAGTCCTAAAATTAGCAACAAATCATCCATCTGTTTGTCTCCAGCCGCAGAGGTGTGAGTGATGGACGAATAATGTGAAAGAATTGCGAAACTTCTAAAACACTTCACTTGTGACTGTGTATTGTGATTATATAGTAACTACCGCCGAATTCCGGCGTAAATCTGGGACACGCAGCAATCTTGGTATATGATAAAGCTATTGTCTAGTTTATTGTGAATTTCAGATTATATACTGTCAACTAATTTATTATACGTAAACTAAAGCCTAATGTTGATATACGAATTCAATTTTGAGAAAAATGCCTTTTTGTGTTAGGTTCTGCATTCGGGATACGCCACCGTTGTCAGGTTTTGGCTATTTCGGATTTTTTTCCATTAGGTCCGTAAGGTTTATTGGGAAGATTTTATGCTCTCCTGTAGTGCTAGCACAAACATGCGTGACTTGCACGAGAGCGACTTATAGCGCGAGATGTCTATGCGAAAACAGCAGTATATCGCTACTGTTAGCTTTCGACCTTTCTTTAACACTTTTTTTAGTAAATTTTTGTTTTGAAAAATAAGTGGAGTTTAGCGCATGGACACAAGAAATTGCGGCTTTGGAGAAATGCCCTTATTAAGACTTTGGAGATATCGGCACCTAAAGTTTTTTGGACCGCTAAAATATTGCCAATAACGCTGATTTTGCTTTACAACAGAACTAAATAAGATATTAAAAAAGCTATTATAGGGGGTTGCAGAGCGTTTTGCTAATCCCTGATAAGTTAATAAATCAATTTCGCTAACAATGTTGATTACGTTAGTTATGAATTAGTGGGCAGGTTTGTAAATAAGTTTACACCCTGTATTGTAGGTATCTAGGTAATTAGCTAAAGTGATTAAAAACTGCATTTTTCAGCTGTTAGTGTGTCCAACGCTAAACAGTCTTTGGTTAACGTAAAGGCCCCCCCTATATTGTTGAAGCCAAGAGGTAAGACCAGTTAGCAGGATTATTTATAGTGTTCATAAACGCTATAAAGGTGGATTCGCAATACACAAATTCTGGCAATATATTGCCGCAATTTATAGTGTTGCGCGATATGATCTTGAGTTGACCAATCAGGAACTGTCGCTGCAGAATGACTGAATCCACCTTAAAGCGATTAAAATCTCATAGATAATGTTTGTCAAGATCAAATGATTCAAAAATCTGTTTTTGGACATATCTAGATTCTGTCTAATTGTGAGTCGTCTACAACTTACTTCACGTTATGAACGCCTTAAATATTTCTTTGTTTAGCTAGGTATATACCTAAAATCAAAGATGTAGACTTTTTTTGTTAGAGACAATGTTAAAAAGAATGTTGGTGACTCGTTGGTTCAGTTCTCAATGAACTCACTTAGGTAAACAATTACTATTACAAATTAAACAAATTACTATTAAATGGGTAATTTTCAGGT